TACTCAAGCAGCTTGAGATACAAAACAAAGGTTTTTTGTGCAACATGTAATTAAAAATTGAAATTATTCAACAACTTAATAATTAATTACAGATAGGGCTTCAAATAGACAACATATTTCAAAAATTCAGTTGTTCTGAAACTATATGGATCGAAAACATACTTTTCCATTCTTTCTTCATGTAGCAGATGCAACCTTGCTCATGTAACACAAGCGCATTGTCACCAGCTATTTCAGCTGCATCCTTCAAAAAATCCTGCGCCAATTTTGTATTATTTGCATAAGCATATTCGAGTCCTATATATAACAGCGGTTCGAAGCTACCTTCCAGCACTCGTGATGCCTGAAATATATAAGGTTTATGAATTCTTAATTATTCAGTTGAACCACTTACTCTTAATAATTTCTAGTACAAGATTTAATTTCCCACCGAAGAAGATAGCTTCCTATATTTTACATAAGAGGATAATACATTAAATCGAATAAAATGCTTCATTTCAAAATTTTTCTTCCAAATGGCCTATTTCAAATAATTTAAAATACTTCAGAACCCACTTCAAATAACTTACTCTTAAATAGCAATTCATCGCTTGCTCATGTTCTGATTCTGCAGTAAGTGCATGTCCAAATGCTAACCAACCCTCACCGAATGCACAGTTCATCGATGTACACTTATCTGAAACAGCTGATTTTAAAAAGACTTCATCGCTTTCTCGACAGATAATTATCTGTTACTATGAATTTTGCAGAAGCTAAAAAAACACGAACATCTTGAAAAAAACATGTTCATGTTTAGATTCTACAAAATCAGAACGATGCAAAAATCGAAATCGGCTTAAACACTTGAAAAGAATACTAAAACAGTAAACTCCCAAAATCAATAATATGAAATTAAAAACCTAATTACTCACAACCAAAATTAAACAGTTTATAATAAAATTTAAAGCTTACTAAAAAAATTTTTTGCCGCTGACAGCTGTCCAATAGAATAGTAATAACAGCCAACGGTATACCAACTAACTTCATTATCTGGTTGACTATCGACCAGTTGATGTGCTAGTACAAAGAGATTTTCGAATTTCCGCAACTGTACCAAAGTTGCAATATGAATTAACAAACAATCCTAAAGCTGGAAATCTTGCAGATAACAATGAACATATGCAATGGTTTCAAAACAATACTGACACAATGTATAATAAATAATCCAACGGCGAAAAGTTAAACATAACAAAAATTACAACAAATAAGAAAGTAAACAATGACAAAGAATTTACTAGGTACATGTTCATCAGTTATTACTATTTCAACATTAGTTTGGAATACATTATCATGCTACTTCTATTAAACGTTTTCATTTTCGCAAATTCATGAGCAAAAATTTGAAACCTGAAACATGCCAGCCTCATTCAAAATTTCATCCGTAATATTATAAGCTCCGGTGAGATCCCCAGCTTGATATAAATGTGAAGCTCGCGCAGTAAGAATTGACAAATCCGTTATCAAAGCTTCATTTATTAAGGCATCCGAATTCAACTACAAAAAACAAACGAAACCAATAACAATGAAATGAAAAAGAAAGCATGAAATAAAACCAAAAGTTCTTAGTAACAAGATTATTTTCTAAACTTGCATTTTTACTCCCTTGAGAAAAATAATGATTTCGAAGAGCTACAACCATACTGTTTTTATCTTCAGATCTGAAAAAATATTGGTAAATGAGCTTCCAAAGTTTTTGTGAACATTCTCAAAAACTACTAATGAACAGAATAAATAAATTAGTATGAAGAAGTGAAGCATTCAAGAAGTGTTTACTAAATCACTGACCTTTCAATCAGTTCTTCAAAGCGCTGTTTTGAATAAAGTCGATATTTTTGGATAAGCTCAAATGCTTCTATACAAGAATCATCCTTATAAACGGCTCCTTGCAAACAAGAGAATGCTGCACGACGATTCTGAGTCATCAGATAAGCTTTTCCTAACAACAGCAGTAGTCCTGCTTCTACCTATGTATTAACAAAAAGAAAAAATTTGAAGAAACAATTTTGTTGTAAGAGATGTATCAAAAATATTCCTGAAAAGATTGCTAATCCTATAAAATTTCAGTTAAAAACGGAAATCTTTATCAAATGCTTCTATACAAGAATCATCCTTATAAACGGCTCCTTGCAAACAAGAGAATGCTGCACGACGATTCTGAGTCATCAGATAAGCTTTTCCTAACAAAAGCAATAGTCCTGCTTCTACCTATGTATTAACAAAAAGAAAAAGTAGTATTAGCCCTAAAGTATTAGCCCTAAAAATATCACCTGCAAATCTTCTGATATTTTATCAAGCGCAATCATTTCTTCAGAACTTGGAAGGAAAGACTTCGGTCTGGACAGCTGAAGCATATGAGGCATAATAGAGAATACGAGGTCGTGGCATCGATCCTTCAAAAAAGTTGAATTTATAACTTTCGAAAGAATTTTCATGGAGAGTGATCTTATAAAGGAAAAACAGGAATTATCATTCACGGAGACTGATTTCGTTTTATAAACTGTGTCATCGAAATATGAAGACTTACGAGACAAAAAATACGAAAATGACTTACCCCTGTACCTAGTTTTAACTTGAGTATGTCAACAAATAATTTCTTTTTGTAAAGTGCATTTACATAAAAATAAGCGAAGAACATATGTTTCATAATAAGCTCATGACGATCACAATAAGCCATCAAACGTGTCCATTCTCCAGCAGCTGCCAAAACCTTAAAAAATTTATATAATTAAAGTTTCTGCATTTAAAGCAAATTTAAACAGAAAAATATTACATTTAACTTGATATAATATGCCCAACTACCAAACAACAAATTCCAAAATTTGTTGACAGTCGTAATTATGCTTTCCATTATAATTCAAAACTTCACTACAAATTTCAAACTCACACAAATGCTTCTGATCTTGGAAAGATTTATTTATCTGAGTTGCCCACTTATCTAGTATGAAGAATGATAAAAAAAATTTGAACATTTTATAGCTGAGAACATTGTGGATTGCTCCATAAAAGAATAATATTGAAGAATGAGATCTCAATGCTAAAATGAAATTATGAGATCCAGAAAAAGATAAAGTATAATGAATAAAAATTTGAACCAAATATTTTTTACATACTTTAATAAACCGAGCCATATCAACGAATGATGGTTGGGATCCATTTTTCCGACATAATGCTAATTGCTTGTCTGCCCAAAATAATGCCGTCTTATATTGCGCGCTTGCTAAGTATCTCTGAATTAGACTATCAATTTCGCTTAATTCGCAATTTCCATCGCTTGTTAGAAATGCTTGAGAAGAAGCATCTAACGGTGCTGAGAGTGCAGATCTGGGAAAAAATAGAGATGTCAAGAGGAAATGAATTACCAGTTAACTTTAATCAGTAATGCTACTTCTTAATGTCCTGTAAGTTCAAGAGATAAACAAAATTTTGGAGTAAAGGTTAAGAATTTTTCATAATGCTCAACAAGCATTAGATAAAATAATATATAGCAATATGTGTGGAGTGTATTCAACTTACTAAACATATAGCTTTTCTGATTTTCTTCTGTTCCTTTGTCAAACCTATTCAGAATTTGATGCTATGCAAATGAATACAGTATTTCAGTCGATCAGGCAGATGCACGTAATTCGTTATATTCCTTTAATAATGCCACACGGAACGAGAAATATGCTTAAGAATACTAATGCAAATGTGAGAAAATAAGCTTACGTGCTACTTGTAGGCAGTGACATGGGTGTTTGCGCAAGGTCCTTAGAGGTTGATTCACGCGTAAGTGTGGGTCGTTGTTTTACCGCGCTCCTACCCACCATTTCATGCAAGAGCTACAATGAATACTAATTAAAACACTCATCAAAACACGTAAAGTAAACTTGTAAAACTTAGAGAAAAAAGCCCCAGACATCTGTAAGATATCAAAATCTTAAACTTCCCATTCGGGAATTTTGCGTCAAAAACAACTAAACCACCTTTTATCTTTTAGACCCCATACAAGTGAAAGCTCTTATCTTGAGACTGAAACTGCCCATACAAATGAAAGCATTTTACACCCAAGCATGTATTGCAATAATACGAAACCAAGTGTTGATATGAAAAGATGACTTGGTTTGTGCTATTTCACGTACCAACGAACCCTTTTGTTGGAGGTAGTGCATACATATACCGCCTGTCATGGCTTCAGATTTCAAACTACTTATCAACACCTCCATATTATGCTTCACCTCTTTCCTAGCAGACTTATTTTTAAGTCTCGAGAACAAAAGATTTTGCGATGCTCTCCGCTCTTTCTGCTCGTACTGTTGAAAAGCTTATTGATTTTATTCTTTTGAACCAAAAACGGGCAAATAAAGAAACGAGAAATTAACAGCAACGAATCAGGTATCTTGAATTTCAAAGTACACCACTTAAAATAAATGGGACGACGGTATATAAATTTGCAATATCCCAACTTGTCATTACAAAACATAAAAGAGAAACAGTGCTGCACATCGTAGCAAATACAATATTTCGGTGCCTTCACAAAGACAACAAACAGAATAACGAAGTAGACATATTCATTGTGAGATGATATGTGATGCAAATCCTATTTTCCGTCTTGATCAGCAAAATCAAGTAGCACAAGGGTTAGCATAACTCTCGTCGGATTTTAGAAATACATGTTTGAATAAAACGTAGGAATTCAGATTAGCAACGATGACACTAAAAAAATTGATTTTTCACTTTTTATAAAAAGCAGAGTTCGACATACCAATTTTTGAAACGTTTACTCAAAAAAAAAAAGAACAGAAAAAGCACCTCACATAAACAATCAAAAGGACACTCACACCGGAGTTGAGCTCCAGACCTGAAAATAAGGGGAAGTGGCTCGACTCGTCAGATCCTGAACTTCTGCTGAAGTCCAAAGCATTGACAACAGCTATTACAATATGATTTGAGTGCAGTGAAAACAATTATGAGTGTTAACATTATTAATCACTATTGCTGCACCTCACGACTGATACTGGAAAAGCAGTACAATCCACAGAAAAATTCGGAAGAATTTCCAGATCACTGGCAATTTCCAATTTATCTTCATAAGTTAATGGTAGATTTTCCGTTTCAGTACCTTCATAGCCATAGATTAGTTTGAAAACATATTTGGACATTACTGTTGCAGCAAGTCTAAAATGAGTTTGGTTTAAGTATTATTGTTATAAAGGCTGAAAAAAAGATGAGAAAGTTCACCAGTTTTAAAATAAAACCTACACCAACCTTTGTATGGGGTTGCTTACGGGCATAGCAACCAACCGTAATTCAAGTGAGTGTGCCAATTCCATAATTTCTTTTACCTGCAGAAATAGAGTCAAAAAGAATGAAAAAATTACGAGAAATCACTGGTCGTTATAACTTCAGTTAAATATTATTTGAATTCAAAATCATATATCTACCCAGAAACTAAAACATACCTCCTCATCATCTCCAATTTCTTCCAATCTTTTTTTAACATGATGAAAATCGGTGAAAATTTGCCCTCCTGGTCCCCACGCTGGTATTTGATCACTCACCTCCTCAAACAAACCACCAAGTTCACTCAAGCACTCGTAATTATCTACAAAATAATTCAGTGAATGATATTTGAATCCGGTTCATTAATTTCACGAATGTTTACAGCCTTAATAAAAAGCACAAAAATTGACCCTTCATTACCTTAAGGATTAGTTTTTATGCTTTTTATTTCATTTTTGGAGCCATTACAGCCGAAAATAAAATAAAAAATCGAATAATAGAAAAGCCTTTTGTTTTGCATACGAAACGTGTGATTTTTTTAAAGCAAGTTTTTTTTTCTTTTTAGGAATTTAAAACACCTGATATAATCATGTTGGGCGCAACTTTTTCGAAGAAAACAGAATGTGCTTCATCAAGCATGCCACCTTTCAGAGCATATAAACACATTTTAACTTCATTACCTTCCAATTTCGCTCTCATATATCTGGAACATAACAAAGAGATTCAGAAATCGATAACTGATATGTCAACCTCGCCAATACTGTATGCATTACCTAACAAGAAGAAAATCAAAAAATTTACCTTGACCGAGCAATAACAGAATCTGGTAGAAGCGCCACTGTTGACAGTTTCATATAAGTTTCCTCATCAGCTTTATCCGCGATTCGATCACAAAGTTCGATCAAAGAATCATTTCGACTAATAATTAATTTCAAAGTACAGAATGGTACTGAATATGTCACTTTCAGCTTAATACTTATTAGCAATGACGGACTTACCAAGAACTGTTTGACATCGAGTATAAATTCTACCGATAAAACGTACCTTTGCAAATCAGAAATATGCATCAGTACAATTGCAGCGAGATGGTACAGTTGCATTTGACAAAGTTGTTCAGCATATCGAATATGAAGTACATGTTCAACAGATTCTGACGGATGTTCAAATCTCAAAATTCGTAAAATAAACCACAAATGCCAGCTGCAAACATTATTTTTCTAGAAAAAAAAAGCGAGCGAAATTTCTCGAAATAAAAAGATAAAAATCAGGAAATCATCAAATGATAAACCCAAACTAAGGATCCCCTGCAAAGAAGTCTTTCTAACTCTTCTGTCTATGTTTGATAATTCGATTTTCTCACAAACTTCCTTCTTTTTCCAGTACGTAAGTCTTTGTATTCATTTTATCATCTGTAGAAAACCTTAAAACCAAATTACTTCCGAAGTGATAGAACATTCAACTTATTCTTAAAATTCAAAATACAATAATCGTTACAAACCATAAATGATAATCCATAGGATGTAAAGCAGTGCAGTCAGGCTCCAGAACAGCTTCCATAGACTGACTGGGATCACAAGCTAACTGAATAAGTTTAAAAAATATATTGCATTTCAAAGTATGCTCTACTTCTCGTGCCTTCAAATCGTTTTCGAAAGCATGCAAAACACATTTTAATGAAGCATCAAATGGATCAAAATAGGAAACGAATGTATATAATGCCTGCAATAAAAGACAACATTTTTTGCATAATACAAAGAAAATAGTAGAAAAGATGTTCGCTATTCAAGGACAAAATTAACCGCGCTTTTCGCACTGAGATTCATTATTAGTTGTCTTTGCAATTTTTAAGCTAGTGAAGGTCATAACAAGCTTCGATAAGAATTCGGTGAAAAAAAAAATAGATGTAGAAAGCAAAATGACCAGAATTTTAAAAATAGCATGCCAGCTTACTTTTAATCCATCCAAACCATCATTCACAAAGAACATTCTGCCATTTATTTCAGCTTGCATTTCTCCTGCCATCAGAAGATAAATTTTCAGCAGATTCTCGTCAATGAATTTGCACTCCTTTGTTTCTTTCCAATGTTCAATCGAAAATAAAAAACAATGCTAAGGGTTTATATAGAAATAAAGCGCTGTACAGCATAACTATCAAATTCTCAACTGTTACTTAATAAATTATTAAATGTACTTTATTAAATATATCGTTTCATTTTCAGTAAACATATGCTTCTTGCCGAATTTAATCTCGATGATATTAAAAAATAGTATTCAATTGGAAAGTTTAAAAAAAAATAGATCTGTTACAACTAAGACAAATATGAACCTGGTTTTTGTAAGCCGTCCTGTCACTATACTTAAATACTGAAAGTCCGCACGCAAGATGAGGATAATTGCTATCGATAGCTTCCTCTACTGCAGCTTCCAATTCACCTATCAACATTAAGTGAAGAATTTTAGCGAAACCGGATGGTGATGGTTTTCCATGCTGTTCAACAGTTGCCAGATACTTCTGTAGCCATTTTGCAACCTCTTCACGGCGATTTAACATTTTGGTGTAACTGGTGCTAGCTGAAAATCGTACAGAATATGTTCAAACAATTTAAAAACATTGACTTTGTTTAGATTTCGATTCGATCAATGAAAAAAAAAGATGATTAGTTTAAAGTCAGACAAAGACATAGTAATAGGGCAGAAATACCTGTAATTTGAGAGCCAAAAAGAGCATCACATAATTCAAAAACATTTGAATCATGTGCCATGCTGTTAAGCTTCGATGTCGTCAAGGAAGAACTTATTAAATCGGGAAACTCCTACAAGGATATCTAATTATGACACGGGAACTGTATTCTGCCGTAAATTTCTGCGATCAGGACTCAGCAAACTATTTTTAAAAACACGTCAGGAATTTATTCAAGTATCAAAAATCAAAGAAAAATTTCAACACATTAAATTATATTATCAACTTCGAAAAAAAAGTTCGAAAAATGAGCTTACTCCATCTGGTTTTCTTTGTGAAACATTCTGGAAAACCAAATTCTCGGTTTCCTTATTATTTACTACTTTACTCATCAAGCTGATTTTTTGAAACAGATCGATAATATATTCCTATAATGACCCAAAACAACAAATGAACACACATTGGATCCGTGCAACCAAAAAAGCGGACAAGTAACTTAATATTTGTGACCAGAGTTGTGAAAATAGAATAATCCAAAAAAGTAAATGAAAGTAAATAAATAAAATTTACGGTAGGCACTTGATCAATACACTGAAACTTAAGACATCGGACTGATACCGAATTTGGAAGATCGCTCATCCAATATACACGTCCTGCAAAGGAAGAATTTCATCCTTATAAAATTCGACTTTCAATCTTACTAAAATAAAGTATCATGCTAAACAGGCGTATTTCAATGCTTCAGTAATATACTATAAAAACTGGCAAAGGATAAATGTCAGTTTTTAAAACCTTTTACGATTTCGCGCAAGTTAAAAAGAAAGCATAGTGAGTAAGGATTTTAAAGGTTCTTTCTTAGACTTAGACAGTATTATCAGCAATATAAAACAACTGATTGCCGACACTCGTTTGTGAGGACTAAAGAAATACAGTTTGGTCATAGAATATGCAGAAGTTTGTTCATAGAATATACAGAAATCTTAACAGAGCTTAAATTCTTTTTTTCTTTTGATAAATATATATCTATGTTGTATAAAATTAAAGCTTCTCTGATCTTAGATTTATCACCATCATATATATATATATATCACTTTGAAATAGTCTTTGATTATATGACCTTATTAATTTTAAATTTAAAAAAAAAAAAAAAAAAAAAACTAACCATGATTCCAACTTATACGTCCACATCTACCATTCATTAATGAGCCGTCTATAAAGGTACCGGTTCTTTTGGCTATTCTCATTACTACTTGTTCGCCTTCTTTAAAATAATTTTTTATCTCATTAACCGGATCAGTAAGAAACATCTGCGTCTGGTACATGTCATCATCGTGTCCTTCTGCATCAATTAGAATAGAATCACTCACCAAATCATCTACAAAATTATAATTTTTAAAAGTACAACAAATGGTGAATGACGTTAAACCACAAGTTAAAACTAGCCGATATAAAAATTTTAAGCTTTTTTGAACTTTGTTTTCATGAATTTTTAACAAATACATTATTGCCACAGTAAAGGGACCAAATTAAAATGAAACCAAGGTGAATCTAAAACAAACCTAGAACTGTCTTATTGTCAGAAAGTTCCATTTTATGTTCCGCTTCTGACATTATGTTTGGCTGAATAGAGTGATGCTCAACATGTGTATGGACGTTCTGCTCGGGAAATGATTTTCTATAACCTTAAATTCACGAACTGAAAAGTATCAATAGAGAAATGAATTCCTATAAATAAAAAAATATTAAAAAAAAGTGTTATACCATTGATTCCACCCAATCCGCGTACAAAAAGCATTGAATTAGTTTGTTTTAAGCCTTCGTGACAGTCCTGAAATATGCTACATTAAGTTTATACCAACGATGTAACTTCCTATGAAAGCCATTGAAATTTCACTATGTGAATCAGAATCTGATTAAGTAAATTAAGTCCATATTCTCAGCATACACTATAGCAGTATCGATCAGCATTTGAGAAATAACACATTTACACCGCTGTATTTTCCACATTTTACTAAACGAAGTTTTATGCAAAAATTTTCTTTATGTAAAAAGCAACGAGTAGTTCATTATAAGTTGAACCAACATAAATCAAAGCAAAGTTACCATCTCTTTCATTTTTTTTTCTTTTTTTGTTTTGGTTTTTAAAATTAACTCACTTGGGAACGATTAGTTGTAGAACCACTTGACACCACTGAGAAGATGTCATGTTCATGAGCAACCTTCAGTTTCGGTAATTTGGCGCGTTGCACAGCATTCTGGATTCTACTAGCTTTGAAGGCCATTTTTAACTGCGTCTCATCAAGCACATCATCGTCATCATCGTCCTTAACAATCCGGAATGTTTTGAATTTAGGTTAAAATTGAAGGAAGATTTGATAAGTTACAAAAGTCACGGTTGGCAGCAGCATTTTAGCTCTTCTTATAATTATGTTTAAATGAAAAGAATGCAATTTAAGAACAAAATTGACCGTTAATCCGTATTTGGTAAAGTGTGGCACTGTGAAAACCCAAGTGCCTGTTTCAGGACGATAATCTTTGAATTTTGCTCCCATTTTTGATGAAGCACGTTCTAGTTTTGCTCGATAGCCCAATTCTTCTAGCCGAAGAGGATCCTTCAAAATAAATTTTATGACTTATGTTGGTTGTTGAAAATTTTCTCAGAAACAAATTCATGCACTCTTTGTTTTTCTGTGTAGAGCAACATTAAACGACGATCATCAAAACATACCACGATATACTCCTTTGTTTTCTTATCGCGAGGCCAAACTCGGTCCAAACTAACTTCTGCAAACCGATTTAATTCCATTCCAACTGGTGGTTTACAATTATCATCAGGATAAACAATCACTTCGTGCTGACGGAAATGTACTACCTGAAACAAAGCTGACGGAAACAAATCTTTTTTCTGAATCACCTGAGCGCGTTGAAAAAATAATGAAAAGTCGAGACCTTATCCAAATTAACATTCTGCAAGTCAAATGGTCCGGGCCAAAAAACACTTCCGAAAGCCAATCGACGTACTGTGAAGCCACTTTCAACATGACAGATACCGTTATTTTTCAGTGCCATTTCTGCCAGTTCCTCTAGAGATGGTTCGCATTCATAATCTTGCCTGTAATCAAAACTTCAGCTACTAATAAAGAGCTCTAAATATTTAGAGCAAGCCATAGACAGTACTAGAGAGATTTTGCATGCTGTACTTTTATTTTAGAAGTGCTGTTCATCTATACATTAAACTGAAAAAATCAAAGTACTGTGGATTCTAAAAAATAAATAAAAGGAACACTTACCTTGTTAAAATTATGCCTGCTGGATGAACACTACGTACCGAAACATTTTCAGAAGAGGCATTGGCAGTATTCTTGTTAGTCATATTCAGTGAATTACTAATGCTCTCATCCTCGGAATAAGTCTAAATTGATAGCTAACAAAAATAGTTATTCTCTATCTATCCATAGAAATATGATGACGTATTTACTGTTTGATTTAGAAAATTTTCAGAGTGAACACATAGAATATATCAGTTACATACTGATAACCACCAGTTATAGTTACATGTTGATTAGTCCGAAACGAACTAGAAACCCGATTTTTAGACTTTCTCATAATTATTGATGTGCTTTCAACTTACATGTAATAATTAATATCAGCGGACAATATGGCCCGAAAATAATTGAACGATTTCACAACTGCATTCTATTAAGAAAAATGAATAGCAGCATTTGAGTTATAGAAAGATGCACAAATAGTCCTGATCACTTTAATAACTAATAAATAAATAAAAAATATGATTAAAATAAACCAATGGCGGAGGAAATTCAGCAGGCCGCTGTAAGGAAGAGTGAGAATTGACAGTTGGTCGTCCTTCTTCAACTGTTGTTTTGTTTATTGATAAACTTTCCGAAGGTGGCAACATGAATGAAACGCCTATTTTCTGTCCCGTTGTTGTCAACTCGGTAGTAACTGACCGCTACAAGTTTTGCAAGGATATCAGGCTAGTAAATCTTGATTTTTCTTTTAATTTATAACATCTATCTCAAAACAAAAACTTGCAGTATCTATCTTTGAAACTGCTCCAACTCGTGCATTATCGGTCGCTTCATTATCGCCACTAATTTGCGCCGCTGGTGGTGAAAAAGTTGCTGAATTGGTAGAATTTCGTCGATTCTCCTGCTATAAATAATCCCATTCCCTTGTTTTTAATTCCATTATTTATTGCTTTACAATAAGATGATGATAATCATAATGTCAATGTGACATCATATCCATATCCATAGAATAAAAAGATTATTGAATTTTTCTCATACCACATATTTATGAAGAACACTGAGATCAAGTCGTTTCACATTCGAGTTATACTTTGACTTCAATGACTGACTAGTATTTATTCCTAGAAAACTCGAAGGATCTACTGATGAAGATGAACCATTGGTACCACACGACCTGTAAAGGTCATGTTTCGAGCAATTTGAAATTCTATGAATTCCAACTCTGACAACTTCAATTTAAATAAAAGGAAAGTATTTGGATATATTAATAGTATTTAAATATTCTGTGATCTAAATATCGTCGCTATAAAGAACTTTATTATAGACTACCACAGCAAGAAAAAATACCTATTAATTGTGTTATCATGATTCAACGATGTGTTCTTCTTATTAGTTCCTCTGAGACCAGGTGGCAAAAACATGGAGTGATATGTAAAATCGCCAATACTATCTCGGGATTTGGCTGAAGGTTTGATACGTGATGCAGCAGCAGGTATTGAACCCAGTGCAAGTGGTCCACTCGGTGTTGTTGTCGTCACCGCACCTGCTTCTTTCTTTGAAGCCAAAAATCGAATTTGTCGTTCGATGCTATAAATAATAATTTACTTTCTCCATAAGTCACAAAATAATCAAAAATAAGAAAAGGAATATGGAAAAAAGTTTGTCACGAACATTTTTGTATAAAAAATAATAATATCGATAATCAGTTTGTGACATATAATTTCGTATGAATAAACAAATATTTAACAAATCGGAAAAAAATATTACTTTAAATTATATGAATCGTACTTACAAATACAGGAAATGAAAGGAAAAAGAAAATATAAACACTTCATTTAACCTGATTGGATTAGGAATATTTGATTTCTCTTGTGATTCAGTCGTTAAAAGTTTTAACAACGGATTATCACCGTAAGGACTTGATGCCAACTGTGCTTCAATTACTGCTTTCTCAATTTGCCACTGATTAAAATCGGCACCCAAAACGATGGGTACCGCTGACGATACACTGCCACCTGCTACTTGATACGCAGAACCGAAAACTGCAAAACATCGGAAATTTTAATTTCGTTTTTACGTTTCCAAATTAGTAGAAAAACCTTATATATGAGTATGAATCTCACCAGGTTGCGTCGTAGCAGAACCAAATAAGGAATTAGTTGGTTTCGCTGCAGATGAGCCGAATAGTGATGGTGTTGAGGAAGGAGCGGCTTGTCCAAAAAGACCACCAAAAGACAAAAAATATTAAACAGCAGAAAGTTAAAAAACTTGAAAATTTCGACTGCACAAAACAATAATTTATTCTCAGAGTCAATAAAATGGCGTTTTGTATTATATAGTACCTGTATTTGAACCAAATAATCCACCAGCCGTTGGCTTAGACCCAAAAAGTCCACCCGCTGATTGATTCCCTGGAAAAGAGCATATTTTTCTTTAAATCTCATCGGCATAGAAAATAAAAGAAAAATTTTAAATCTCTGAATTTATTTAAGAATCTTAACAGTAGCTATTAATATATACCAAAGGGTGAAGCTGTGGACGTAGATGTACCGAAAGCACCAAAACTAGAAGTAGACGGTTTAGCACCAAAAAGACTTGCCGAAGTAGTCGATACTGAAGGTTGCTGAAATCACTGAATAGTGAATTAAAAATGAATTTACAGTGTACTGCATAGAAGTAAATAACATAAGATTCTTCCTAAACATTTATTAAATGAAGTTAATAAACGCAAGGAAAACTTTGCATTTAGTATGATGAAATTTATACAAATCACAATTTTAAAACAATAGAATCAAATATTTTCTCACCGTGCTGTTACCAAATGTAAATGGGTTTGACGAGGATGTAGCAGTGCTAAAAGCTGGTCCATTAAAAAGTGACGAACTCTGAGTACCGAAACCCTGGAATTATCTAAGCAAAAATTCTTAAATAAAAATGAAATAAACAACGAAATATAATCAGAATTAAATTCTTGGAAGCAAAAGAATGAGGATAAAGAGAAGTTGCATAAATCTATAATTGAACTTTATTTAAGCAAGTGGTCGTGCTTGCTGTGTTGTAATTATACTTAGCTTTGGTCAGTTTAGAAAAATTTTTAGCAAGATATGAAAAACTAAATTACAAATGAAAATGGCAAGACTATATAAAACTAGGATTAATGGATAATAAACGCAACAAGGGAGCACTTAACTATAATAAAAAAACAGATCTTAACGATACATTGCTTCAAGTCTTTCGCAAATAAGTATTTGTAGCATTTAGTCAAATTCATCATATGACTTTAACATCAAAATATTCTAAAGTAAGATGCCTAGGTTCTGAACAAAATTATCGTTTATAGTACTGCAATTATTACAGTTAAAAGAGTATTCTTGTTGACGGAAACAAATTAAAACTAGTGGGAAACCAAAATAAGAGCAGATAAAAAGCAAACGAATCAAACCGTCGTTGATTTAGTGCCAAATAATCCTGTACTGGTCTGAGTCTGTCCAAATGGTGATGTTGTGGAGGAAGAACCAAACAGTCCTCCAGTTGCTGGTTTATTGCCGAAAATCGATGTGGCGGTTGTTGGAGTTCCAAACAGCAAAGATGAGGTCGTGGTTGTAGCACCAAAACTAGTCGAGGCTAGGAAGAAAGTTTATTATAAATTACCACTAAAATAAAGTCGTTTGTGAACTCACTTTGCTTAATCAAGTATTATGCATCTGTGTAACTGACGAGAAATCAGATCTCTCATTGAGATACTTAAAGCATTAACTACCGAATGTTAGTAAAAAAATAAACTGGATGCTAATCAAAATAAAAGAACTCACAGCTTCCAAACAGTGGTTTACTTTGTCCAAAAATTGAAGATTGTGCTGTAGTAGTGCTAGAACCAAACAACGAAGAAGATGGTTGTGAAGTTTGACCGAATACCAAACCACCACTCTGAGGGCCTTTTCTATTCGCCAAGTAATCTTCACATCTCAGCTCCTATGTAAATTATAAATCGGAATGTTCAATTTCTACTCATTTTAACTTAATTTCTATACATTTTACTTTGATTACTCTTTAAAATAGATACGCATGTTATGCTGAAGAATCTCTACGTATGTCCTAAAATCAATGTAATAATGTCGACAAATGTATAAGAATGAATGGTCGAGAACAAAAGTATCTTTATTAGCGTTTGAAAACCAAAAAAGCATTAAATATAGACCTCCAAACTTTTAGTTTCATACTGTTTCATGGCAGTGATGCACATGTGTTTCGTACTGATCGTTTGATTTGTACCATTACGAAGCATAGTATCTGTGGATGTGGGAGGTTCAAATTTAAGAGTTGTGCCCGATATATTTGATGCTGCAATAATTCTAGCAAGTTTTTAAGGATAACAAACGCAAGTCAAGTTTCTCCGGCTCCTGGAGATAAAAGTTAAGTAAATATAACGCAGAAAAAAGGCTAATAATTAAATGATCCCATACTTCCGAAACTTGATCCGAAAACACCGCCAGTCTGTTGTGTCGACTGAGCCGAACCAAACAGTGATGTGGTACCAGCGAAACTCGTCGACTGCGTTGTTGACGATGCACCAAAAAGTGGTTTTGATTGACCAAATATTGATGTTGAAGCAGAGGAAGCCGGTTGCGCACTTCCTAGAACTGTGTTTAATTCAGGAGATTAACATATATATGAATCAAGTTTAATTTCATTTTGTAACTCTAAAACTTTTTTTGATTTTTTTTTTACACCTAGTGAAATCAACCGGACCGAAAAGTGATGTCGACTGTCCAGGAGAACCGAAAATAGATTTCTGTCCAAATAAGCCCGTACTCTGGGTGGTTGTCTGCGTCCCAAATCCTGTTGTTGGTCGATTAGTAGATGACCCAAACAACGAGCTACCTGCTACAATGAAAATATTGGATTACAATATTAGCAGTATAATGCACAGAAGATACAACTTCAGCAATAGAAAGTACTTGTTCACTAGTATTTATAGAAAATTACTGTCAAACAGCAACAGAGCTAAAGAAACACTGTGTCAGCACAGGTAGGCTTTATTCCAATTGGCATCATCTTTTTGATTTCTCCAGAAAAGACAATGACAGTAAGTTTCCTCAGGAAAGTGGAATTTCGAAAATCGGATGGAACTTACCACCAAATGCAGATGTATTGGATGAACCGAAAGGTGATTTACCAAACATTTCGGAATGAACAAATACTGCACAGTGGAAATGGTCTACGATCAGTGTGTACTGAAACACGGGCAACACAAACCTGGAAAGATAGCAAGATAATCACTGCAGAACCCACTACAAGTGACCTTTAACCTAAGAAGCACATGAGATAGAGCTCCTCCTCTGCATCCCAAACATTCACCAATAATCTTAACAAAAATATGAAATGTTGACAGAGTGCCAAAATGAACCTCTTCGCGCCAATTTAAGTGATTACAAATACGATGTACTTGCAATAGCGACATCCGTATTGTTTCTGTAGTCAATAGTCAATGGCCTTGTAATCCTTGCAATTGCCTTATTTTATTCTCACAAATGAGCTAACCATCCGGTTTACCGGTTTACCGGTTTATCGTACTGACACATCCACAGCTATATGTGTGTTTTATGCGGAATAGATCTGGGGATATTCGAATTTGCATGAATCTGGTAAGTTACTCTGATCTTTTTTTATATTTATTTTAGAGATTGGATTATACTCAACTTTATGACTAGTTACTAAATAGTATATGCAAAAGATGTTTAAGAAATAATATCGATTAGCTGATCGCCCGATCTGTTAGCTTTTAAATTTCCAACACTTTTCTTAAAAATTTCCTTGTTACAAAAGAAAATCATACATAATTCTTAATCCTTATTTAAACCAATGCTTAAGATTTTTTTATAAAACGAATCAAATATAATCTAAATTTATCGCTTTCCAGAGCTTTTTTATGCATCTTCAATTAAGTGACCATTATTGCCACTCAATTTTGTTAGTTTAAGTTCATTTTATATTTTATTTGCGCATGCAATGTTGTGAAATGGCTTACAATTATTCCTTAGCATTTTTCAAAATAATTAAAGTTTTATAGGATTCCGGGCTAAGAATAAAACTATATTTTGAATAACAAAAATTAAAACATCTGCTGAGATTAAGAATCTATGCAAAAGCTACAAGTTGTTAAGCTATTTTTTTAGAAAATATTTTTGCATATCGACAAAATTCTTATTCAAAATTTTTCTGTAAAGCGGGAAAGCATGGACGAAGTTTTCTTTTGAAAAGTTTTTCGACATCTAGGATGAGATATCAACTCAATTTGGCAAAGAAATTGGTTACGAAATATGTTAAAATCTGTTTTAATCATATCAAAAGCACCAATAAAATTTGAAAAACATCGTTCAAATTATTTGTGGATGTACAGGAAACACAGCTGAGAATTGTGTATTAAGGTGCAAATATGCAGTAGTTTATTATTATCACTGTTTATTGTTAATCGTAACTGATTTGTTTCATTTGATTTATGAAACTTCGACAGATTTTTTCTGGATCCGCTTCTATCTGTATACGTATTGGATAGCTGTCACATAAAACAGTACGAAATGGTGGTTCCCAAATATCTTCCGGCCGACGAAACCGGACGTAGTCTGAAATTTCAAATCTTTCATCAATAAAGGAATTTAAAATACACTAATTATGCTAATCTTCCTAATATGGAATAGCTATGTTCTTTTATGGTCTTATGATATTTTAAATTCTTCTGGATAATGTGTTTTGACAACGCTGAAATGTATGTAAGGGGATTAACTTTTTAAATGGAATGTTCAAAGTATCATTTTCATCCAGTGCGACTTGAATAAATATACGCTAGGGTAGAGGAATTTATTGAAATAGTTAACTTTCAATTACTTTATTATTAGAATAACTAAGCCTAAGCCATATTTCTTTTTATACTTTTTTTAAAAATGAAATTACTTCCACTTCCGAAAATATAAGCGTCGGTAACAGCAGCTAATGCCATAAACAGAAAGGCATAAAATGTGATAAAGAGATTTATGATGGCCCGATTTTGCCACATCATTGTATTTTCACCTGAAACCTTGGAAAATTATTTTTTATGACAACAAAATCATGAACCTAAATTGCTAAAGAATAGGCGTCGTCTCAAAAAACTTTGTTATTCTGAACAACAATTGTCTTTCAATCTAATTTTATACCAGCATAGTAGGAAAGATAGGAAAGGTCGAAATGATGCACGCCTCGTTTACTTCTTTATGTAACGCATTCTCTTCAAGCACAGGGTTAGTTCGAAACATTTAATTTTTAATAACTTTAATTGATCTAGGGGTAAAAGATTCTTTTGTCATTTCCTCTTTATCTTTTTCTAATTCTCTGTAGTCTTACTCAATTAGTTATTAAAATTCATGAAGCTAATAAAACTCTTAAAATAATGTCAAATTTACGCGAAGCAATCTAAAAATAGAGAAACAGTATTGTCAGATTTGTTTGAATAATATCAGATAATTACATTAAAATTAATTAATTACATTAAAATCATTTCGTTTAGTTGATAATTCTATCAAATCACTTCTTAATAAACATCCATAAACTAAGTTGCCTTATATTTATTCTCCGATTTATTCTAGTATCAAAAATGTTCCAACTGCAAGGAAATTTTAGGAGACTCCGAAATTCATTTGTTACTTTGATTTGCTGGCTCTCCCACAAAAGAAGCCACAAAACAAATTCTCGTCAGAATTATTCATCAAGCCAGTTTTAAATCAAAACTGAGTAATCTTATGAAAAAAATTTTTATTTCCAAATTTTTTACTCCAAATGAATTGCTGTCCATACTGTAATTATAAAGAAAAAATTTCAAAAAAAAAAATTGAATTCAAAGGAAGAGAAAAAACTGAGAATCGAATTAGAATTTGAAATACTTGAAATTTTTTATCAAACTTTTAAAGCTTAAAATGAAGAGAAGAACGAGTGGATGCGAAATGAGAGGAAAAGAGCCTACTTCATGCTTCCTACTGAAGATTTTAAATCCACTTAAAATAAATACTGACTGGCTTTATAACCGATGTTGACATTAAACATCAGTGGTGAGAAATGATAATCGAAAATATTTCCTTCATTCGACATCAGAAAGGAGAAGAGAAAACGAACTCCTGGGAAGTAATCAGAAGTATGGACATTTCTCTAATGTATGTATGATCACTAGTTAATATTTATGAAGGGGAAGAAAGTATTCAATTTCCAACAATGATGGCAATGCAAATAAATGCAATTTTTTTGGATGAAAATTAAACTTAATGATTCCTTAAATTCTACAATATGATTCGAATCTTTAGAATTACAAAAATTGTAAATCTTTTAGTTGTGAAAAATATGCGATGAAGTTTTCATTTATTTCCACTTTTTTTAAAAATATAGCTCGAAGTAAAGGTATAATAATTTCCATGTTAGGCCTATCTTAAATCTCTGAATTTTATTGAATAAGAATTAACGATTTTGATACTAAGGTCATATGCAATAGTGAATATCGCAAAAAACGTTCTCTCTCATAAAGTAAAGGATTAAAATTGTGGATGAGGACAGCACAACATTAAGAATTTTTGGCCTCAACAAAAAATTTCGTACTCTAAATTTTGTTGAATTTATGATAATTATTCAGAAGACTTCATTTGGATAGGAGGAGACTCAACCACTTAGAGTCATATGATTTATTATTGTTATGAGATCGACAGCAGTGATTTCAGATGTTGACAATCTCATTGTCGATTTTCAGCCGACTAGTAGTCAGTAATTGTTTATTTAATTTCCTTTACGGATTAATTTCCTCAAGATTCAGGACGTTATGAAAATTGAAAAAAGTCAATTCTAAGAGTCAAATGTCAAAATCAAACCAAGTTACACTATTATCTCAGTGTTAATGTATCTATCTTTGTTTATACTTGTCGAGAAATCAAGTAATCTACAGCAACAATATACAGATAATTTCGTTTTGTAGATTTGAAAATCTACGAAGAGGAAGAAATAAATAAAGATTTAAATAAATGGAGCTGGACGAGAACGTGAAGCAGCCAAGCTTGTTGATTCTCAAGAACATCCCAACAGTAGGCGTCAATTCTTATATAGTAAGCATTAACTTATAACAAGGAGCATGATTTATGATGAGAAGCGGACATGCCGCAAAGCAAGTCAGCTGAACAAAGAACCGTTAACCTTGTCAAATTCAAATATAACAAATTCAAGTTAGTGTGAAACCGACAAACGTCAAAGGAGGTCAATTAAATAAGGAAGCTAGTATTCTTATAAACAATCTAATTGGAAACAATTTCAACCCATATTCTGCTAATAAATTGTAACAATAAATTCAGATACAATTGAAAGATGAATAATGTATAAATGATTTTTTATATGAGATCGTGAGATTGAACATATGTGTAAATAATGTTCGATTAAGACAATCTTTAGTCTCACAATTTAATACAATTTTATTTCCACATATTATTATATTTGGTTCTTCTCGATAAGACTAACCAGTGAACTCCAAAACAATGCCAGTAAATATTTCTAATCAAATGCTCAACTATTTTTTATTGCACATATGAACACTAAATGTTGATCACTAATCTGAAATGATGCGTACTGTACTACGTTATGAATGATATCCACTTCATATATTAATTATACTTTCTTTTTGTCCTTGGATCACGTACTCTCGACTTCCATGTTGAAATATTTGAAATGCCTAGATGAGATTTATCTGAATTCATTCTAAACTGAATGAAAATTCTAAGATGAGGTGAAAAAAATATGAATTTTAGAAATAATTATATGGGCTTTGTATGAGTCAGTAATTGAAATTGATTGTAGTCAGTAAATAAAGTTTCGTGAAAATAATATCTTTCTTCTCTTTTCATATTATAATCAAAATGGACTTTTTGGCATATGAGATTATTGGAAATACATTTCTTCTAATGAGATATTCGAGATAATTTGAAATTTCAGAAGTAAAGAATTTTTTTTTTTTTGAAAAGAGCTGAAATTGTTTGGCAAGAAAACTTGTTGTAATAAAAAAACGCATTGACAAAATAAATAAAGCATCAGCTAAGATCCGAATTTGGTGAAAAAAATGCGACAGTAATTATCTCAAAACGATCAAATGGAATGTTCTAAGTATTCAATAATAATAATGGTTAATGAGCTAAGAAAGAATGAAAGTAATGGTATCAAGCCTGATATTATAGACCATCGATATAAAAGTTTTTAAACATTCTTGACCGGATGCAAGAATATTTTATGATTAATCACCCTTCTTAAAGTTCTTTTTCTTTTCGATAGATTTTTTTAATTTAAATTTGATAAGCAAAGTGCAGAAACTAAATAACTGAGTAAATTTTGAAAAACAAAGCTTCATTTGTCATAAATGATTTATAGAAAACGATTCATTATCAAGATATTCAATAACTTCTTCAGCAATTTTATCAGATTTTCATTGGTAAACAGAATGGGATGATTTTTGACCAATTAGTTTTCACATTTGTAAAATTTCAATCCATTCAAAGAATTTTTGTTGTATGCTAACTATTCAAAGAATAATCAATATACAACAAAAGGCACAATTATTTCGAAATTTGGATCTTTCAAATATTTAAATGATAAAAAACGATAATTATATTATTAGAATAAATAATTGTCAAAGTCCCAGAAGACCAGCATATTTAGAGAATGATATTTTAAGGAAATTTCAGTGATATGACTCAGCAGGACTTTTAAAATCAAAATAAATATGAAAATGTAAGGCATAAAAGTAAATTGACATTCTTCAAGTAAGTAATTCCTATAAATGTAATTACTATAAATGCTAGTAAGTAACAAAATAAAATAATTTGGAGAGGAACGAGTAATACTATTTTATATGGAATGAGAAATGTAAGAATGATGAGAGTTCAAATTGGAACAGTAGTATAGTAAGTGATTAGCAAAGCTTAATATTGAAGGTGGTTTTTTTTAATTTTTGTCAAGAATAAATTTATTAACACAACTGTGGAAGAATCAAAAAGAATTCGATTGTAAAGGTCAAAAAATTCGACATCACCTTTTTGTTCATTAAAAATAATTTTCTACTTTAATTTAAACGCATTTCTAACAAATTTGCATGTTAAATATTTCATTATTTATAAGAATTGATAAGGTCACTGCAGTTTTTATGTTGGTATTAAGCAGTTTGGTCGTTATATTTTTTTCGTTCGATTAAGTAGCGATTTTAAATTAGAAGCAAAAGAATCAAAAAGAGGAGCTGGAATTTCTCATCCTGCATCATTTATTGCATAAAGGTTCGCATATTTCGTGACTTATAATACACTGATAAAGACCTGATAACAAAAAATGTTCGAAGTTAATATGCCGTAAAATTATGATAAGTTTAACTTCGAGATGAAGATTCTAATGGATGAAATTAAAGGATGAAAAATGAGATGCGAACCACTGTGATGGTATCAGTAGTATTGGTCGGAGTGTTAGCTCTAGCTGGAATTATCAGCTGTATGATAATAAAACGTCGAAAGAAGGGAATGGAAGAAATAGAAGCGGTTAGTCATTTTAAAGTTTTTTTTTATCCATTTTATGTTTTATTAAATGAAAATTAATAGCATATGTATTGATTTCTTTCATTTATGATTATAAATTTCATTAAGTAAATACTTGTTTGTGTTAACATAATAGCGAATATTATTTATTGCAACTAATTTGGTTTATACTATATTAATGAAGGCTTTTTTAGATACAGAGATGTGAAGCATTGCAGAAATATCTTGAAACGGGTGTTGAAATTGTAATGTTTATCATTTTTTAAAGCCATTTTAAATCTTGTAAAATAAATTTGAAATTTGAAAGTCAAAATTTTGCAATGATATGAATGAATTATTCAGGATCAAGGAACGATGGATGTAAATGTGGACCCTAGAATGCGCCAAAAATTAATGTCAACAAGGTCACGTCACCGAAAGGAACGTATCAGTCTGCCTTTAAATTCGAGAAGGTTAAACTGAAGTTGAAGTTGAATTAAAAGCATCTTCTACTTATCATTTAACTTTATCACTTCTTTTGCTCAAGTACTTTACTCTTTTTAGATTTCGATTCAGCAAATTTCAAAGTTCGGGACAACAAAGCACTAATATTAATGTCAATAATGAAGTAGGTCTGTCCGTTTTCATAAGTGAACCTACTTCTAGCTATTTTAAATCAGGCTGTTTCTTGACAATTACCTTGAATCTAGAGTTAACCGAGACTTCTATATTCACATTTTGAGAAATTTTTCATACAAAATGAATTATGCCAACAGTATCAACAACTCCTGATGATGATAATTTGACATGTCGCTTTGTTGATAGTTCACTTCGAATGAAATGATTTCAAATAAGTGCTTCTATCGGAAAATAAGTGTTGAGCGAAGTTAAAAATGAATAACAGTAGTTTTTCATGAACTAGAATAAATTTAGTTGGTGACCTTTTTGTCGGCATATCTTTAATCCTTTCATTATATCATACTCTATAATACTGACAGAAATAATATATAAGGAAATCCGACATAAAAATTGAGATAAGCAATGTTTTTGCACATCTTATCACATTCTTAAAAAAACTTAGAAAAACATTATTAAATTCGAGTTGATATGAGAAGTATATTGACTGGATTTGTGATAAGATTAAATTTTAAATTTGTGATAGGATTAATTTTTTTCAAACATTTTCAGTGATGCGTACTATTATCCAAAAAATGGTATTCTCTGCAAAAATATGAAAAGGAAAATTTTGAGTAAGAGATAGAGAAGGAAGAGAATTTATATTGACTGAAACATATATCGGCACAGAAATTTCTTATTTCAGAAAAGATGAAATGACACTATTTCATTCTTCAGCGGCGATCATTTATCAGAAGTTTTCAGATCAAAACGTCTAAAATATAACTTGATCTGTATTTAAATGACTTCTTTTTTAAAACTCAATGCTTAATAATAAGGTATAAAAGCATAATGGTAATTAATAAAAGAGAAAAATTGCAGCTGCAGAAAGTCATTTAAATTATTAAGTGAGTTTATTATTCATTGCAACTTAATTTGTCAACACAACTTCCATTCATCTGTATCCAGAAGAGGCAGACAATCAAAAATCTCAGAAATGGCCATGTCACATTGCACTGATAAATGACCACCATCCCATCCCTACTACTCATCTACAATTCATTTACCATTTCCCTACAACCCACTGTCGCACGTCTCCTCCCTTCCCATCTACCTTTTACAACCACACACACACACACATACTAATACATATAGAGACACATAGAATTTAACGCATGTGTACAGCACGAGGTCGTTTCGTATTCGTGTGCTGTGAACTCCAAACTTCTTCTCACCTTGCTGGCATGTGTTAGGGATAGGTTTTTGTTTGTTTGAGATAATTATGAATTTTTTTTTGAAGTTACAGATAAAATTTACATTGGGCGTTAAATGCAGTACATCAAATTTAACTGCCAATAACTGTCCTCTGCAAGCAGTTAGTCATTATTTATATAAATTATTAATTAGAAAAAATCACTTCAACGATTTTCAAATAGTGACGAAAGAAGTGGATTGTAGTTCAGACATTTCACCTTGTAATAAATTTTTTAAGCACCGTACTTGTCGAATTCTCGATACTGTTAGACATACACATACTACCTGATGCTGAGAAATTTCATTTCATCTTTTCGATCAGTTTAATTTTCTGCAAATATTCACCAATTAAAGACACTTCGGATTTGACAAATTCATTGGCTAAAATTAGTTTTACTTATTCAGCTTCTTTTTCTTGTCCAACATCTGTGTCACTCATCTCTATCCTCTTGTCGTACTTGTCAGACTCACGTTCGTCATCTATCCAATTAAATGCTTTTGGTAAAATTTGTTGTAAACCTGTCAGTTGAGTCGAGACTTAAAACTGTCGACTTTTCTCGTCTTCTTTCTTCAACTTCTCTAAATTAACACACTTACATCTGTTTCAGTATCAATTGCACCTTTAGATTTATATTTTCTTCTGAAAAAAAAAATCTCTCTGGAAGGGTTTATCGCTCATTATCGCTATGTCACTCACACACTCCAAATTACTCGTTACTTTAAGTACCCAAAATTGAGCCATTTGTTAATATTATTTTCAAAAAAATTGAAACTTTTAGTTTATTTTAAGGAATCATAGAAAGCTTCTATTCATTTACTACTATTTCTAAAACTGGTTTCATTTGATTTAGATGTGATTCTCTAGCCAATAACAGATCATCCAAATGGAAATAACTTTTGACCATATAGATTCTTAGTGGCTTTTTAACTTTAGGAGGGAGAATTAATTAAATGATCAAACCAATAAAAGAATTAAAATCAAATTAAGTAATAAAAAATATAGCAAATATTGACACTGACCAACTTCAGAGAATGTGTAGTCACATGTTATGTAACCGATATCTGAAAATAAAATTTGTCTTTAGAAATCTTTAAAAAAAATATTTTCTTAATTTTCTTGTTATGTGCATATCTGGACTCTGCTAATAAAACAGTAGAAATTTTAAAACACTTTTTGAGGAGCTACTGCACATCAACAATCAGAAATAAATCAGTATTTTTAACTTTTATATGACGATGGATAACGAAAACATTGTAACAGAAGTTTTTTTTTTCTCATATTTCAGTGTTACTTCAATCTTTATTGTACCTTTAAATAAGCCTCTTCTACTAGACCGGTATCATTATCATATCATTCATATTAGTGAACTCCAATATATTTAATTGATCAATTGTAAAGTCGATAATTTTGCTGCTACACTTTTTGAAGTTTGATTTTAATTGGAATTCTAATAAAGGAACCAACTAGTCTAAACTAAATATAAGCTGTTATTGCTCTGTACTTTTCGTCCTTCAACTTTTCCAGATTGAATCGTTCTTTGTCTTTTTTAGACAGAGTGATAACAAGTGATCTTGATATATATAAATCAAATTTTTGATTAATTTTGGATCTAAAATGGCAAATGAAATTTTGTTTTCTATTAAAGCATTCAAAAAAGACAAACTAACGAGAGCTCAGAAATAGCTTGGCATAAAATAATGTTTTGACTAAGTGAAATAGGAAAAGAGCTTCCAAAATTTAATTCCAAATACAATGGAGTGGTGTTTTATTAATTTTCATTTCTATCATCAGCATTAATTAAATGATTAAAGATTCCTAAAATTAAGAGAAATATAGGTTACAGCACTCAAAAATTTCCTGTTTTCTTGTAATAGATAGAGGTGATGAGATTTAAATTGATGGGATTGAGAAGCCATCAGTGGTAGTTGGATTGGTAAATTTCCCTTAAATAATGCGTTTACCATAGAAGGATAAAGAAAAAGAACGATCGCGGGATCATTACGGTTTTTGTTAAAGAAAATGAGGTTGCTTCTATTTATGCAAAATTATTCGATCAACATCAAAAGTATCTTTTAAATTAGAATTCTATTATTTAATTTATTTTTACTTGAATTATCGAGACTTAGCTCGTTATTCATTTCTTATCGCTGTCGTTATCGCTACCACTATCCGTCACTTTCACTATCAAAATAATATTAGCATTACTATTATCATCGTATATTTGTATTGTAAGACTTTGTCATTAAATATTTTTTATTATTTAATTAATTTTCATATAAACTTTATTCTGACTTTTTATATGCGTTTTGATTTGTTTCAGGATACTTCGAATCAAAGCTATTTAGTTAAACCTCAATTGTGACTATTTGATGTGAATTATGCAGTCATTCCTTTCTTATTCTCGATCATACTGCTTCTATTTAATAACCTTAGTATCTATCATGTCATTAACAATATTATCAATTCAATAATAATTCGTCATTTTTCACCCAATGTTTATTCGTCGTTTACTGCTTATATTTCATCGACGCAAACTACGTACACTACTTTTTGCATCCCTGTTTATCCTGGCTTTCTTAATATGTTGGAGTTTGCTAACGATTACCATCCTAATAGTGCAGGACAAGGTTAGCTATTTCAAATTGCATTTTAAATAAATCATTTGATTTGTTCTGGTCGGATTTGAATGTTTCGAAAAAAAAAGCAAATAGAAGTAAAAAGAACAGACATTTTTTTCAATTCCATTTATTTCTGTGAACATCTAAACTATTGGTGGTTTACCGTCATAATCAATGCCACCGTTGTTCTTTTCAGAGCTAATGTTTTATCTTATCAGGCATATTCTATATTTAGGTAACATGCTTTCGAATGTTACATTTAGTATTCTGGAGAAAAAAAGATCTTAATTTATTTAATTAAATTTCACAAAACATGTTTTTCAACCATTGAACAATTGCTATTTTTAATGGTCAGCAAAGTTCAAACTTTTATTTTATTAATTTGATTTAATTTAATTTCAATTTTTTTTTTGTTGGCTTTCTTAACTGCATTAAGCTTTATTAATTTTACTAACTTGTTTTTTCATTAACAGTAGAAGTTGAAATAATTGCACAAGTATGACGGAACTGGAACAAACCAGTATTTACTTTTGCAGTGCTATTTCTGAACACAAAAACTGAAAAGTTGAAGGTTGTGTGGAAGTAACAGAATTAAATATGTATTTAAAGGGCACATCCTTGAATTACAATAAATTTGGAGCGATATTTCATGATAATTTAATCGAATAAAAAATCAACCTGTGTATCTCTGTAAAATTATCTCTATTCACTTTTGTGTTTTGAAATTTGATACAAATTTTTGCCCCAAAATTTCAGATTTCTTTATAAGAACCGATAGTTCTTATTAACACATAATGTGAAATAATTTTATTAAGGAATTTGTATGTACTCCATCAATAAAAGAGAATGTTCGGATAGATAAAAGAAGTTTGTTAATTTGAAAAAATGCATCATTTTTAAAAATAATATTGACTTTTCTATGCTGCAGAATTGTTTTTCTTTTTACTTGATATGTCAACTGCTTTAGATTACCGATTATACAGATGATGTATTCACGGATAGAAATTCGTATTTGAGTCAAGGAATACAAATAGTTGTTGGCCACTACAACGGAAATCTTGCCAAGGATAAACTTTCTAATTTAACTGCTGGCAAGTTTCTACTGAATTTCGATGATGTCTTTTGCAGTGTATTAGTAATATTAGTCCTTGGCTTATTTATATATCCCAGTGTCTATGTCTTACAAAAGATTTCAAATTATTTTTAAGCATGTCAAAAATTAAATTAAAATAAAGAATCGATTATTGATTTTCCAGAGCAATTGAATGCAAATAATTATTCGCCAATTACTGGTGCTGGAGAGGATGGCCGACCTGTTAGATTAAGTGAAGAGGATGAGCGTCTCTCCGAAGACACCTTTGTAATTAATCAGGTGTTTAGCTTTTTTTAAATCATTGATATGAATAAAAAATTTTTGTTATCAGTAAGATCTTTGTGTTTGAAGTTCTAAAATTGCGCAATAGTCATTAGAGAGTTCATACGAGAGTGATGCACCCGTTATCAGAATACTAACAGAATCATTCAATCCATGCATATCAATATCATATTTCAGTTCAGTTTGGTAGTAAGTGATCGAATAGCTCTAAATCGATCTTTACCTGACATTCGTAAGCATCAATGCCGAACCAAAACCTATTTGCGTATGTGAAAATTTTATCATTTGTTATTATCTTCCTATTAAAAGGATTAAATTATACTAATTTCAGCTTCTTCGGAATTACCTACTACCAGTGTCATCATTGTTTATCACAACGAAGCGTTTTCGACATTGATGCGTACCGTCATGTCCGTTATTCAAAGATCACCACGTGAAAACTTGAAAGAAATTATTTTGGTGGATGATTTTAGCACAAGAAGTAACTTTTCAACTTACGCGAAATGTTTGATGTGTAAATTTTGAATGCGCTTAATGAAGTGATGAATGCAAAGTTTGAGATAAAATATTTCGTTTTAAAATTATTGGTTTCTTTAGGTGTTATAATTTTTTTAGCGTTTTTGAAAGTTGAATTAGAGAAATTCGTTGCTCAGTTGGGTACTCGTATCAAAATAATTCGAGCGAATGAACGCGTCGGTTTGATAAGGGCCCGCCTGATGGGTGCTAATGAAGCAGAAGGAGATGTGTTAACTTTTCTGGATTCTCACTGTGAATGTACCAAAGGATGGATGGAGCCACTGTTGGCACGGATTAAAGAAAACAGGTAATTATTTGAAATAATGAATGTTTTGGTTTTCTACTAAGAAATAAAAGAGAATCAAAATAGGTAAAAACATGAGCAAAAGGTCTATTGCAGTTATTGTTTAAAAATTTTCATGATACTTACAGAAAAGCAGTAGTTTGTCCTGTGATTGACATTATCAACGATCGAACATTTGCATATCAGAAAAGTATCGAGCTATTTCGCGGTGGTTTCAATTGGAATCTACAATTCCGGTGGTATGCTCTGCCATCGGAAATGATAAAATCACGTAGTGACGATCCTACGAAACCGATCATGTTGGTGCTTTTATTTTGAAAGCAATCATGTTTAGAGATTTCAGAACGGTGTCTAGAACCTGACAAATTCTTTTTTACAATGAATCAGTGTGTTACTTCGGTTCCCTGATTAGACATGTCTTAGTTAATATTCTTTCATTAAATTATATCATTCTTCAAAGAATATGAACAATGAAGTTACAGTTCTCCAACGATGGCTGGTGGATTGTTTAGCATCGATCGGAAATATTTCGAAGAAATTGGTACTTATGATCACGAAATGGACATATGGGGTGGCGAGAATATTGAGATATCCTTGAGAGTTTGTTTTAAAGTTTCATTTCAGAAAATGGTGAATTGGATTATCTTGAAATTAAATGAAGTTACTTGATATGCTGTAAAGTTTATGTGATGTATTGCAGAAATTTGGCATATGTTGGCTCTTTTATTAAAACGATACCAAGACATTAACCAATTCCACTTACGACGCGCGTGCTACAAATTTAAACTTATTTTTTCAAATGGCGTGATTCATAGTGCACTTATTTATGAAAGATGATATATGTCAGTTAAAATTATTAAAAAAAAAATTGTTTCTTGGTTTGGCAATGTGGTGGACGAGTCGAAATTCTTCCTTGTTCGCATGTGGGTCATGTCTTTCGCCGGACTTCTCCTCACGATTTTCCTGGTCGCAAATCAGGAACTATTTTGAACAGTAATCTATTGAGAGTGGCAGAAGTTTGGATGGATGAGTGGAAATTTCATTTTTACAGAACTGCACCGCGTAGGTTTGGTTGCGTCGTTGTAAAGGAATACAAAATTGATTTGCGATAGTTTTATGCGAAGATGACTGCTGTATCATCGTCTTTTCATTCATAAATGAAGTGTTTCTATTTTTTTAAGTGAAATGATTACTGAATAACGAAACCAATTTCAGAAGCTTATAAAATGCGTGGAACTGTTGATGTAAGTGATCGTGTAGAACTCCGAAAACGTTTGCACTGTAAAAGTTTTAAATGGTTTCTCGATAATGTGTGGAAAGATCATTTTTTACCACAACCGGGAAGTGCTTTTGGGAGGGTTCGTTTTAGTTGCGAATTTTTCTTTTTTATAGGCTCTTCTTGACATTTTCACCGATATTATCTTAAAATAATGGGAAAGCCCTACCAAAACCTTCGAAAATATAGATAGAATTAGTGTCAGGATATTCGATATATGTTTAGTTAATGATTACAATAAGGAATCTTTCTTCTTTTTAATTGTAATTATTAATTCAGGCCCAACTAATAATCTGCAGGTTCAAATAAATGAATCAACTTTTAATTAGACGTACTCACCTAATAGCAGTGAGTACCTTTGCTTTAGGTAGTTCATTCAAGATCGCAGATTGGAGGTATGAATGGGTGTTTACATTGGACAGTGCCATTGGGCGAGAGTATGAGAGTAGCAGCGATGCATAATTGTTCTGCACCTGACAGTTTCGATCGTACTGAGGTATGCAAATTTTTTTCTAATTTCAGATTTCGCATAGTACTTCAAGAAATTGTTTGGTAGCTCGAACTGGTGAACCTGGCTCCAAGCAAACTAGTATTATGATGGCTCGTTGCACATTGGGCTTTGACTTGTGGCAGGTGATCATTTCAATCATCAGGTGATAAATAACCATGTCTTGTATTTTATAATTGCAAATAAATAAATTGATTTCTGGTGATATGTTGCAAATTTTTTAGCTTTGGTTATTTACTGATGAAGGACAAATGAAAACAGACGATCATCTATGCCTTAGTGCATATCAGCCAATACAAGAACCACGAAATTGGAAAATTCAACTGAAAGAATGTGGTCAGTATGAATCAGAGTACTGGGACTATAATTTTCACGTCAGTTTTGAATACAATTATTTACTTGAGGAAATTGTCAGTTAGACACCAAATTCTATTTATTTTCATGATTTTTTGGTCATAAGTTAAATTAGAATATACTAAGTGACTTCGCCCTACATAATAATGATTTAGACTTGCAAGTAAAATTAAAGAACATGAATATCTAAATAGGAAACAAGAATCAAATCTAGAAAAGCAACTTGATAAAAACAAATATTTTAACTCTGGCGCAGAAGTTTTTGATTAATAAACATCTTTGGTCTTTTGTTACTTCCGGTCTACGTAAATATTTTTAAAAAATATTTCCATCATTTTCCTAATATTTTCAGAGGAAATCATTCTACCATCGTGAAAGTGGATTATGTTTAGATCAGCCATTCGAAGATCCTAATGATTACCATGCATTACATGTTTTGAAACCTACGCTAAGCAGATGTACACGTGGCGAATTGAATCAGGTAAATTTATTCCACTAAAAAAATTTTTGAAACCATTCAAAAATGCTAGTAATAATCAAGTGAAAGAGCTAACATTGCTCATTAGAACGGGAAAGTAAGTTTCAAAGATGTTCCTTAGTAAAGAAGCAAAAGCCACTAACAAGATCTAAAAAGGAGAACAAAAAACAGGAGTTCGTACTTAAAAATGTTAAGAAAAACCAATGATTTTCAAATAATTTCGCATTCTTAACGAAAACCGAAATATTGAAAAGACTATTCAAGCACTTTTATTTATCAACCCAAATCTAATAGACTTATTTCTTTTCAAAATACAATTCTAAAAATTAAACCCACAATAGGAAGAATAATAGGTTGAAAAATAAAAATTGACCGATATACATCTACAAAACTATGAAAACGATGACGGTGGCAAGTATTATAGGAAGAAGTAAAAGTGAATCTAAGTTGAAAGCAAAAGAGATTAAATTAGCTCTGAGATAATGGACATTCAAAATAAAGATTTGGAGTCAAAATAAATAGCATAATAAACAATGCCAATTATTAACGCCACTTCTTTAGGTTAATCTTTATTATTTGAATGTATCTTCACTGATTTTACATTTTACAGCAGTGGATATTAAATGAAGTGCGGTGGTTGTCAAACAATGTCGTTTCTTCGTTGAACTGATCACTTATATTCAATAATAAGACCTTTAACACTTTATACCAAAATTCATATTTTTTGCCTAGTAGTTTTGAATATTTCTTTCACCTTATCAAGTTTCACAGCACTTTGGAATTCCAAACTGAATTTCAGATATGCTATTCAGTAAAAAATATTTTGATTTTGCAGTACATTTTCATTATATTAATACAAATATTTTGATATTGTGGCTATCAATTTCTCTACTGCCACCAGACGCCTTATTTTCTCTTTTTCATTATGTAAAATTCCTTCGATTTATTTTCCTCACTACTAATTTAATTATTGCTTATAAACTAGTTGTTTATATACTTTAGAGCTTGATTTGTAATTTAATAGTTGTTATTCCAAAAATGGTGACACATGGCAAACTTTTTCTTTCTTATTGCTCCTTGTCTATTCTTTGTATTGCAGAAAATTTTGCATTTGGTGGATTATGATATGCTTTACTCTGAATTTGCCATTACTTCGAACAGCTTTCTTTTGACATATTTTAGGTTGCAAGTTTCTTGTCTTATCCTTATTAGAATTTAACTTTTGTAAGTAACTGAAAGAATTGAGTCTTTCATAAAATTTTACATTTGATGACACCTAAATCAGCTGTTGTCAGATAGAATAAGAAGTATTAATAAGGTTTATAGCCCAGATATGTCTTAACCAGATTACTTATTTCAATATAACTGAACACTGATAATGAGAAAATAAGGATAAGACTTTATTGTGTGATATTTCATTTTAATTATTGATTACACGAACTTAAATTTTCGTTTGTACAAGTCAGGAACAAATAAATGTTACCTTTGTTTTTATCATAAAACTCTCTTTATTAATAAAATGAGAAGCAACGAGATTTAACCTATATGATTGAGGCTATGACCAAAAAGTTTATAAACCAGAGAGAAGATCAAATAAAGCAAAACTTGCATACTATCTTCTATTAACGGTGACTTTTTTACTTCCTTCAATAATTACAAATATTACTCGAGCTATTGGGTTCTTTCCAAAATAATCAATCATTCAAGCTTTGATTTAAAATGATCAAATTATTCTTCCAATTAACTCTAACATTTATTACGTAGCGGAGCATTTTCCGTTTCTGCTTCCTGGAACCTTTTTAGAAAGAATTCACTTTCGCCTTTTGTAACAGAAAACAATTATAAAATTGATTATGATTCACAGTTTGAAACGGAAATTGAAGTTCTTTGCGCTTAAAACATATTCGTTTTTACATTATTTTTTATCTTTTGAAATCTCTTTTTTTTCATTTAGTCTCTGCAAATTGCAAAAATAGAGAATTCTAGAGAAATTAAAGATATATACTGCAGTAGTATTGAAAAGATAAAGATTAGCTACAACTTAACCTAAAAATTACGAGGAATAATACATGCTAACATCGCCACGTTACTCATATTACAACGTAAATCTACAATTGTTAGTGGTAGATATTCTGAAAAATTTGCTTTCTTATGAAGAGTGTATATTCTTCCTTGTTGTCATACGTTATTTAACCCAAATAATTTTTGTTAACATTTCAATGACAATTCCAAAATTTATCAATTTATGAAAATGATTATTCATAGATTATTTATTATTATTCTTCCCATTACTCAATTATTTCGAAGACAATTCAATCATAGTAGCATATGATTGACTTCATTATGATTAGCTGATCAGTGCTGATTAAATAAGCCTATGCTTAGACATAGTTAAGTAAACAAATAAATCGATTCTTGTATTTGTTTGCAATGCAGTGTAGAGCACCACCAATGGTTATTTATACATAGCAAAAATTCACCATGGCGTAAGTAAATCCGGAAATACCAAAATGTATACATTAATTACGGTACATGATTGTGATTACAATGAATTTGATTTGATTTTATATTAGTTTGGACTAATTTAGAGACTACGAGTTTGATTTGATAATCTTAGGCTATCCCAACATTCATTAACAGTAGTGTTCCTACTTGATGTTCGAAAGATTATTAGAAATATAAAATAATAACAAAATATGTCAACCACATGAAATAAATTAAATTCTTCGCAAGAAATACGTTCACTATAAATTCAAAATGAAGTCATCTATTTGCTGCTTCTACATCCGAAACGTCAAAATCATACATTCTTCAACGTCAACTCAGATATATAGTTAGTTGGATTGGCTCCTTAGAAACATAAAATAAAAACAGTCGTCTGTTACAGAATGCATTGAATATTTCCGAAATTTCAGATTTAGAACATTATATTCGATATTGTTATGCAACTAATTTATTCAGCACTGACAATGATTTCTGTGCAGGATATGTAAATATCTCGACGAACAACAACAATTCGCAATTTAGATTGATACCTAAGCTTAGTTTGTTTTTTGAGATTTTGAAGTGCAAGTATAGTATCGAGAGGTGAGACAAGAGCAAGTAATAGAATCATATGAATGGAATTTCAATATTCTGCAATGTGTGAATGCACTATAATTGCTCCCTTTACTTCTTTTTTAGCGTTTATCTTGGCAGGAAGTCATCATTAAAGCGTAAGTTACTCAAAATAAAATCTTAAATGATAATTAATATTGCAAAGGTAGAATACAAATTTATTTTTAAGCTTTAATGTGAAACTGCAAATATCAATAATTAAGAACAAATTACTTAGAGATCACAAATAATATTCATAACTCACTACTTGCACTAGTACATAAAGCCTAAAAATATAATTATCGACCGATTTATCGTCCTTTGTTCACAGTGTAATACCTTGTTGCTTTCCTTATTCTACCGTATGAAATATGCTTCAGCAGTAAAACCCATTAGAAATCTTTGAATTGAACTTCTGAAAGAGTGTAACTTTTGGACTGGGGCTTCTTCATCATTATCAATTAACATCCATCGTTTCCACTTCAAATTAAAATTGTTTCACAACAGCACCGAGATTAAAGTGAAATAAAGCAGAAAATCGATCGATAGATACACATTCTAATAATTTATAGCTTTGAAGGCTCTAGCGAAATATGCTGAAGAAAAGATTTCTGGTAGAGTTAATTTAAAAAAACATATCAGAAATATTTAAATTATCTAACATTCAATTAATCAAAAATTTGCATAACTGAAATTTAATCAGCTATGGAATTAAAAAATGAATGAAAATTAACTCTCACAAGAAAAGCACAAAAAACTAGCAGCAGTTGTATTGGTAGTAGAAGGAGTATCAGTCCAATTATCTTGATCATTTGGAAAACAATTTAAATTAGGAAAAGCCCAATGGGCATACTTATTGCATAGATCTTTTCCGTACACATAAGCATGTCTGTTTTTATCCACCACTTCGTTGCCATTTCGATCATGCAGCGTTTTTCTACAACATAAACAAAGTACAGTTTTATCAATGAGTTGAGATTGAGATAGGTAAAGAGCCTGCAATATCATGTGATGCAACTGCTAGTTAAATTTGAAAACTAAATATACATGCTAATATCTACGCCTTTAATTTCATTCTGGTGTCCCAAGTTAACTTAAAAAATTAGCTTGGAAGAAATTTAGGAAACTTAAAAGTTCGAATAAGGTTTCAAAAATAATATAATTAGCTTTAAATTTAATCTCAATGATATATTTATATTGTGTCGAAAAAAAAAAAACAACACTTACAAAATGACACTTGAATTTAGAGGTTTAGTGAAATCTATGATTTGTAAAACAGACGAAGGTAAACTAGTCGACCTGCCAACAAACACTAGCGATTCTCGACTTGTTAATGGCTGGTCAGTTATTGGACTGGTACTTTTTGCTGTGGCGTTTCCTCAAAGGAGTAAGATATGAATTTGAAATAATAACTGCTGAACAGAAAATTTGTCTTCAATCACTCACTATCCTGAACCCAGTGATGAGATGATTGCATAACAGATAACGTAATGGACTTTTTTGAGAATTTCAACACCTTTTTGAAGTTTTTTGAAATCATACAGCTTACCGATGGAAGTAACAGCGTATTTGCCACATGATATACAATGATCAGCTCTATCTGGGACTTTCCACTGTTGCGAATTTTCCAGATGTTTGAAATCATGCATTGTTGATAAATCATTTAGCATTAGCCATTCGGTGATACGGGCTCGAAGTTCACAAACAGACATCGAATTTGCAGTTGCCTCACCGATTGCTGGTTTCAGAGTTCGCAAAACTGAGCTGAGATCTTCTTTAGAAAGATTGAATATTGTGGTTGATGGTGACGATAGAGCCATCTGCAGCTGTGAAATTTGAAGACATTGAAAACTACAGAAATGATGTCGTAAAGAAATTAAGATTTTACCACATAATTTGTTCCTTCAAAAAATCGAAAAAAAAACAGACAATATGTAAGTAAAATTTATTAAGTAAAACTCAGATAATCAGAAATGCATCCAAGTTTCGATACTTTTAAATCAATTGATAAGTGTAATCAAAATAAACTTTTTTTTTGAATTTCGATGAAATGAGCAAAATTTCAACAGAAAATCTGAGAGATGATCGTCATTTACAACCTTCACCTACTTCTACTAGAATGCTGAACTTAGTAGGAAAAAAGTGCAGCAAATGGAATTTGCTGATCTAGGAAAGCAACAAATTCCTAGACAGTAGGAAAAGGTTGACAAGTAAAAGGCAAGTGACATAAATATCTATGTAAGTTCTGAATAAAAATAAAATTATTAATAAGATTCTTCAAATATTAAATTGATAAAAATAGTGACAAGTAAACAAATAAAAAGAAGTAACAAAGTTGCAAAAGAATTAATATTAAAAAATTTTACAAAATGTAGGCGATATTCAGTCTGAAATAACGACAGATAAACCTAAGAAAACAGTAAAAGGTTAGTATTTTTAAGAGGATAAGCAAAAGAATAAAGCAATTTTGGAAATTAAAAAACACTAATATATGTGACTGTAAATATGAAAACGGTCCTTATATTCATAGCTTCTTGTTATCTTCGGAAAATGTTGATGAAAAAGTTGTTCGTTTATTGGATCCAGTTGTTGACATATCCCTTTGTTAACTCATTTTGAATAATGTTTCACAGATATATATATATATATATATATATATATATATTTGTATCTCTAGAGAAAACTATGAGAATAGGCATCTCGTCAATCAATAATGGCAGAATTTGTCACTAAATTGATATTATCATTAATTAGACGACATCTCAATTCCTGGATTAGAAAAATCGAGATTTGAGCACTATTTTGCCTTTATGAATGGAATACTTTTGCGAAAAATCCGAGAAGTTTCAGAAATTCGATGAAACAGAAGCCAATGCAAGAAATGATAGTGCAGCTTAACTGAGTCGGAACCTTACTCTCTTTCCTTTACTGTGGAGAGTTGGACCACTTGCAAAACAAGTCATGCTAGCTCATCATAAATAAGAAATATCTGAATTAAATTTCTGGTGTGATCAAAATGAAAAAGATAAGTAAATGAGCAAAGAGCTCTTTATGAAATCTGCAAAGAAATTTCCGGCTTTTGACGGGATCACTTCTGCAAATTAGGTAAATTTATGCGAGGAAGGATGTGAGGGAAGACGGGAGAGAGAAGGGGAACCATGTACATATTTAGGGCAGGTAACGTAGGTAAGTGAAACCACAGTCATGAATTGTTCAAAAAAGTGGAAGCAGAAAGCTTTTCAGGAAAATTACAGGTAATTCAAATAGTTTCATCTGCAAGGATCACATGAAAAAGAATATCTAAGATTTATCTAGAATCGAGGCTCGTCTCTGTCAGATAGGATCATTCCTAATTGTCATCTCGTCTTTTATGCTTATTACTGAAGCTTAAAATCTAGGAAGACATCAAGAAAAGCAAGGTGGAAAAGTTGTCATTGAATTTATTACGGAGAATCTAATTTTAAAATATGCCATGTGCAAATGCAAAGGGAGAATTTTAAAATGGGAAATTTTGAGCTAGCAACGTTTCCGGTAATTATTGACGGTATCGTTTGTTTTGTGATGAGTAGATCCGACTGTCGTCAATATAACAACACCTTTCCATTGAGATGAATAAGGCCAAGTCGAAGTAGACAAGCCAAAGCAGTAGCAATTGCAAATGGCAATTAAGTGCAAAGGATTGGGTAGGCATTAGGCCAAAGATTTCCATTAGTGAAATGATGAGAGACACTGCAAACAGAGCATAGGCTTATGAAGTTTGGATGTGTTTGGCCTTAAAAATTACGACAAACAATCATTCTCCTCTTCGCTCGCTATTCCTCTCTAATTTTATATGTTGAATGGAAATGGTCCTGCCATCCCTAACCGGAACAGGAGGACAAACACATGCATATACACATACACATAACATATACCTCTCAAAATGACGCATCGATCGGATTATTCCCTGTCCTCTTCCTGTTGACTATTTGCTGCTTTCATCGCCTGCTTTGACATCACTGATATGTATAGTGGGCTCTGTGATAATTGGAAGTGTTGAAAAGATGAAAAGATAGTAGTAATAAGGAGAAGCCCGAAACATTACACTTTTGGAACTTTTACAACAATATTTTTCATGGCAACAGCTTAGCAAGCAATGAAACATCATCTTTTCTAAGTAGATAGAATATTTTGAAATTTGATTGAAGACTTCTGATGCTAGCGTGATGAGAAAGGATAGAAACATACTATATTTGTCAACAGGAAGTGAAAGTCAATGTAAACACTTCTTTGTATTCATTCTCAATACATTACTAAGTTAAAACACAACTCTACAGCACTTCACGTTTTTAGCTTTTAACCCTTTAGATCTCATTCTGAGCAATGTATCTAAGATAATGAAAATGTTTGACTATAAATACGCTGATAGTTATGGCAATCAAAGAAGTAAGCTTCCTAGCAACAAACGAAAACAACAAACTTAAATTTGAATAAACAAAGAAGGACTGGTATACACTGTTAAATATATTCAAATTAATGCAGAACCCATTAAAAATCAAGTGAGCAGACAAGAGTAATAACTGCTTGTATAAATGGGGACTATCCACCTTTTCATTCTTTTTCTCTTCACTAACTTCGTTATTATTGCTATCAAGTACAAAAAATAACAAGTCCAAATACAATAGAATTTACTAGTCATTTCTCTGCGCTATATAGAATAATTGAATTATTAGATGACTCATCTTCCTATGAATTATATCCAATCCAACACTTCAAGAACTCTTATTAAAATTCAGTTTTGGTGGTGCAACAAAAGAAATTCTATAGTAAAAAACTCTCATCAAGATGAAAAAAATATATGGAGTGCACAATTATAAATTATGAATTCAGACTCGAATTAAAAAACAGTCCGACATTCAGTTATCCTTGCAGATAGTGAAAATCAAGTGCCAAATTATCCCTGATCTCAGTGATTCCTTATTCCTTCCTGAAATTCTAATCCAGTTTTCGAAATGCAGCAGTTTACTCTTAAAATTATTTTTCATCTTATTTTGCTAAAAAATCTGCGCAATTAAAATATTTATATATGAGTCACAAAAATGAAGCATAAACTCTAGAACGTGAAATACAATAATACAATAAATTGCGATGTACTGAACTAACCAGTATGTCAAATAAAAACATGGTTTTTAGCACCCTTATATATCCATAATTCAACAGTCTTTAAAAATGCAAGTGGTAGGGCATAAGGCAATGACCTTTTATACCACCAATAAGTATTAAAAATATGCACAAAACTGCGTCTTAATTCTTTCAGTGGAACAGAAAATTAATGCCATTCAAATCAAAATGTCGTTACAGTACTACATTTTATATGTTACGTTCATCACCACACAGTCTTTTGATTTCTTCTGTTAAGCTTTTATTTCCCATTGGATGGTTTCAGAATTATCAGTATCCATGCAATAGAAGCAATAAAAAGCAAAACATGACACCACAGTAATAAAAAAATTGTATAAAAATAGCTTGTTAACGATGAGAACGGAATCTTAAACAATAGTTCTTAGTTAGCGTCATCCTTATCCTTTGTACCATGCTTAAGCATTCGAGTGAATTCGACATAATCGAACATACCATTTCTGATTGGCGCATCGCGAAACAGTTCATCCACCTGTAATCAATTTTCTGATAAAATATAGCAGGATAGCACAGATGTGATTAGTAAAAGCCCTGTAAATGTTGTTAAGCTGTATTTGAACGATTAAAGATATTGCTTAACAAACTGCTATTATAGTAAGCACTAAATATAACATAAATCTCATGAACACGATTAATCATAAATAAGTTATTTCCCAAAATAATTTTTTTGTCAAACGTTCTGTTTAAAACTGCCGTAAATAGAGAAAACAAAGAGGAACCACGGAACAAGGATATGCACCGACGATAAATAGAACGAGAAAGCCGAACGTGAAAGACGATGTTCAAAATATGCAACATTCAACAAATGGTACTTGACAACACGAGATATCAATTCAGCTGCAACTTTTACAAAATCTTAAAATAAGTTAAACAGATCTTAAAAATTACCTGCTCATCCGTGTAGCGATCACCCATTGAAGTTAGCAATTCTCGAAGGCGATCTTCGTTCAGCAAACCACTATTATCTACGTCAAAACATTGAAATGCGTTTTTGATCACCTAAATAAGAAAAATTGTTGTCATAATAACAAAGATATTTCTGCTCAAATCTTTGATTCTAAAAGATGAATTTCGTGTTCTTCAAAGAACGCGTCTTTTGAATCTAACCAAACAATGTAGCATAATGAGTGAAAATAATTTAATCGATATATGTATATAGAATGAATAACCCACAAACAAGTAGATCAATGTTTTGTAAACTATAACCTCTTCCGGATCTGTTCCAGTCAATTTCTCACCAAACAATGTAAGGAACATAGTAAAATTGATTGGTCCTGGAGCTTCACTGATCATTTTTTCCAAAAATTCCTCATTTACTTCTTTCCCTATAAGTAAATTTTTTATTTGCTGATTAAAATGGGTAAAACAACAATATGTATTTCGAGAATTAATGCATATTTGCTTAACGACAAAAACCTAATGATGCAAACATATCCTGCAAATCTTGGACGTCAATGAAACCATCACGATTCTGGTCGATCATATTAAAAGCCTCCTTAAATTCCTGAAAAATTTATTCATGAGAACTTATCATTTCACAACTGAATAAGACTAATTCAATCCTTAATGTAACATGGAATATATTAGGCTTATGCAAATGTTAAAGAAAGTAGTAAATTATTAGCTACATACGATAGAAATTGAACAAGAGATAACATAAAAAAGTAAATCAAATCAAATATATACCAGTAAAACTCTAATAGACTACAACCTGTTCACATAACCATAAAGCAGCAATGACCTGGATTTGAGCTTGATCGAACATAGCAAAAACATTGCTGGTTGCTCGTTGCGGACGAGGCCGTCGATTCAGCGTCTTCCTGGATGCCATTAAATATGTACGACGTGTGAAGCTACTGAAAGTGGTACATTTCTGAGTGACTGACACATCAAATCGATTATATGAAATATATGAATTGAATAAAATCATAATGGGTTAAGAGTCAAATAGGATAACATGCTAAAAAGATGATAGCTTTATAAGAAAAGTACTAATACAGTATGCCAGACTAGAACTGAAACCGATTTCGTTATCTATGACACAAGAGAAAGCATAAACAAATCTCAAAATTTAACAAAAACTTCGTATTCATTATAAGTGGAAGATATGCTATCACACAAAACAGAAGTGTTTCTTTATTAATATCCAGTCAATGCCGAAATTCTCCATGGACAAGTGCGCTTCATACCAAACACAGAAAGCGACGCTTTTCTCAACGCGTTCCACTGTGAAATTTCGAAGGTTCACACTGACAAGATAGAAATTGGATTAATGACCTGTTAGTAATAAATAGCTGATTAACCGTAAAGATTCCTTGGATATGGTCTTATCTGAGAGAAGTACAATTTAAAAATCTCGCAAGCTTTCATAAAAATAAGCTAAAGTTAATTCTGTTAAATTCATAAATAAGCAAAAGTAAATGTGGAAGAGTTACTGGAATGATCATACATTTTAGAATGTGCTTATGGTCATATCATGTTTTTATGGTCTCATGGTTATCAGTTTTGCACGGACCCAAAAGGATTTTGTCGATCAACCAAATTAATGCTTGAAAATAGATGCTAGAAAAAAAAGAGCTGGAAAGAAAATAAGTGGTGAAAATAAATTCAAAATAGTAATCGTTATCATATTTCATTCACAAATTTTTCCTTAACAAAAAGTCTTACGTATGGTCATAAATTACTTGAAGTTTTACTGGTTAGAAAACAGTCTGAAAGGAAGAAGCAGGGAATAAGGAGGAAACGATAGATGTCAGCTGTTCAGAAACAATTGCTTTTAATTTCATTTAACGCTGCTCTCAAAGTTACATAATCTAGTAGAATTATTTCATTTTCAATTGATTTGCAGAATTTCCGATTTCATTGCTTAATTAACAAAACAAATATAAATTTTATACTAGCTTACGTTCTTTACTGCACACAAATACATGGACAATTCTGAGACCAAGAAAGTCTCTAGTCTTTAGATTTTGGTTTGAAGTTATGGCTTGAACACAATTTCAAGGTCTTTGATCTTCAAAAAGCCAGTTCGACGAAATCGAAACTTGAGTTTTCAGATTTAGAAGTTGATTGCTTGATCAGCAAAGGTTAGACTATTAAAGGCCATAAGATTAAAATTTTAAAGCATTTTTGGAATTAAGGGTGTTTTAGGAAATTAATTATCCCTATGATCGTAAAATTTTTCTTCGCCGCAATTTTCTGCATATCCAAGACGGCATTGGAAGTTCACGGTAACCCAGCATTTACTAATCATACCGCTATAACCGACAGCGCTTACGAAGATAAGTTTTCCTGCCACCATCATTTAAGCCAAATTTTTAGCTGAAATGAAAGGCTCTTAGAAATACAAAATTAGTATATATTTTATCAATTAATGGTTTCAACAATCATTACTAACCGCTGTGCATTTCTTCTTATATTTCATTTACATTGTATTTTTGCAGAGTCCGTACAATATGAATTGAGAACTTTCTATAGCAGCTTGAATGAGGAAGAAAAAGCGCAGTTAAAAAAATTCGCTAAAGCTAGTGCTACCAACTTTTCATTCACAGATGTTCAATTTTTGGATAATTTAAAGGTAAAACTTTCATAACATTGTTTGTAAAATTTTCTTAAATAATTTTAAAGGAATTGCAATTGTTTGTCCTTGAACTTTTTAAAGGAAAATCAGGAATATACTTTTTCCTAGACCTGGAGGTTATCTCTTGCATAACATTATGAAAATATATGAAATAGCTTATTATATCTCTGTAAAAACTAAACCAATATTCCAGAATGAAGCAGCAGAACTTTTCAGCAAGGTAATTGGTTTGAGGGACATAATTAATAAGAAATTGGATACTATGCAACCGGAAAGTCGACTGTTCATTGAAAATGTAATTTCTCGAGATTCTAGTATAGATTTCATAAATCTTGTTTTCAATTATGAAAATTATTTCTAAGAAATTGAACAACTTTACTTTAAATTTGAGGATTTACAGCTACTGCGACGATTTTTGGCAGCTTTTAGTCAAGATGGAATAATGAACATTCTTGAAGCATTGAAAGGATATGGAAAGGAAGTTATAGACATGTTTGATGGACTATCAAAACCAATTCAGGATGATATTCTTAAAGCTTTTCCTACTATTGGATTATATCTTACAAGTAACATTCTTCGTTTTTTTTCTCATATTTTATTTTTTCCTTTCGCACAGTAATAATCATTTTCAGACGATATTACTCGTTTGATGTTGCGGAAACTGGCTGAACTGGATATGATCTTCAGAGCATCGACTACAACTCCAATCGTTGATCAGATTCTGGATGATTCAGGAAAAGATTTTCCCAATTCACAACTAGTCGGACCTGAAGATCCTGCAAATATTGATGCAGAGGACAGCACTCGTCTTGAGAAGAACAAATTAGTAACAACTACTGTATATCCATCAGACGATGATGAATTGTTGCTTATCAAAAAAGTTGTAAGGAGTAAATAAATGAATAAAATTTCTCCGTGTGATTTGATATCAATTAGATGTGAATTAATTAAAAGGATCAATTTCAACAGTTGAAGAACACTATTATTTTTAATAAAAACTATTCTGGTTTGAAATACCATCAAGTTTCGCAAAAATTACTTTCGTTGTTTGTTCTCATTCTGGCCTCATTTTAAAAAGATATAAAATATGACCTGCATGATGATGATGTCAGTCACATTTCAAAAACATCTATGATCCTATTAGGAACGAAGGAGTATTTATCTCTCATAAGATGATATTAATTCTTGAAAGTACGTCAGCAACTTTAACTTTCTAATATTGATTTGAGTTCCGACATAAGGTATGAAAAAAAACTATGAATACCAATTAGGCAACTGCAACTATTAAAAGTGAAACGAATAGCTGAAAGAGGGAAAGAATATTTTGTAAGTTTGAATGACGGCGATAATTGTCCATAGTTGCAAATGTAGCACGATCATTGATCCTAAAGTTACGAATCATTCTTGTGCTGCTTTTATTCCCGATCGCTCCGCTAAATTTTAAATTATAGCCGCTTATAATTTTAACTAAAGCATATTAAAAAGGAGCAATAGCCCCTAATATATCATGATTTGGAAACTAGCTGTTCGGCACCAGCACACTAAAATCCTAAAAGCCACATTCGATCAGCGGCTAGTTCAAAAGCAATGTTTCAGCCAGGCATTCAGAGGAAAATGGCAATTTGCGTTCCCGGCTGGAAAAAATCCACGATTTTGGGATTCAGTTTGCAGACAATCCAAAGAACCATCCGTTCATCTCTTTGATTCCCCGTGCTGCTATTATTACTTATCCGTTGTATGACTTCCTAGAACTGCTCTGGTAGTTGCCTTTTTTCATTACTAAATCAGTTATCTCCTGAAATCACCAAGCTTTTTTTACAACTTAACGGAATGTTGCGGTATCATTGTATAGTATCTCTGATACTACTGAACTTTATGAAATTATCGACATGTAGACCGACTGGTAAGCTTGCTTCCAACCGAACTGATATCACGTCTTTGGCTATCGAATTACTTGGTTAGATTTGCGGTCAAAATTTTTGATTTCTAAAGTGCTTAATTAAATGATTTCAATGTTTAAAACTGGCTATCACGAAATTCGATTCACAAACTTTCCAATTTCTTTAAGCAAGTTAGAGGACTCTAAAGATGGGTATCTAACGAGAAAATCCATCTTCCGCTTCCGGTGATGTTGTCACTAGAAATACGGCGGAAAGAATTAAACAGTCCTACTAATGAAAAGCATAACGGAGTGTATGCTTTAAAAAGCTCTGATGGAAATTTTCAGAATTTATTCCATCCAGTCTATTAACATTTTTCGGCGATCTGAACGATACGGATCGAAGTGCACTTTTAGAATTAACCAGAAACATTTCTCGAAGTCGGTTGACGGCTGATACCGAAAAAGAATTCCTGGAAGGCCTGAAAGTTAGCTATTATAGATTCTTTAAACAACTCCATCTCTTTTGATAGACAAATCAACTCCTTTCCCACGCAATATAACAATAAATTTCTTTTTTATAGAGGAAAAGTGAGAATGCTTATCAGAAAGTAATGGGCGTGCAGAACTATTTATCGCACAAAATTGAACGTTTAAAGCCAGAAAGCAAAAGTTTTACTAAAAAAGTTAGTTTTGGTTTGTGTTATTAAAGTAAAAATTATTTATACGACCTTTTTTCTGATTTTCAATGCGCATTAAAATTTTCAGCGTGTTAAAAATATGCATGACGTGTAAGTTGTGTAGGCAATTTATTTCCAAAGTAATAGCGTTTTTATTTCAGGTTAGCGATAAATATATTTCACTGTTCACAAATCCACAAACGGCGCCCAAAGGAACGTTCATGAAAATGAAGTCGTTTGTGAATGAAACATTTAAAATATATGATCATTTGAGCGAGGCAGCAAAAAATGATCTGGAAGCAGCATTTCCGGAAATAGCACAATTGATCAGAAGTATATTATTGTCATTCCATTATAGAAAAGAGGATCTGGATGCAGAAGAAAAGGAATAATTAGTCTGTCATCAGTAATTATGTTTAACCATTCTTAAGAAAGATTCTTTGTATTAGACAAACCTTTTTAGATCCACGATTTCGAGATTACATGAAACGTGTGTTCGACAGTGCCGATGTGAAAAGAGCATTCAACCGGGCAGATAGAATGATCAATCCAAAGCAGTAATTTGCAATGCGTTCAGCTTATGTCCATTTCCTGTGCTTCCTTTTTTAATAAATCAATTTTGAAAATTTCGCGTGAAACGAACTTATTCCTCTGAGGGGACTTATATGCTAGTGAGATTTTTATTGTTATAGGTTTCTGGTAGAACTAGAAATCTTTTCCCCTCGATTTGTTTGACGGCTTAGAGATTTTGGTAATAACTTAACGTTAATGCACAGGTGGAGATCCTTCTTCAATACTTTGACTTCATTTATTTGAGTTTTTTTTTTTTTCACTAGTATCTTCATTTAAATTTTATTCAACAAGAATCTTATTTTTTCTTGATAAATGAATGTTTTTCCCTTTTTAATGCGTTCTCGACTCTCTTAATCTTCTTTTTCTTGATTCAAAGATAATATGGGACGAACCACTGTATCAGTTTAGAATTTGAAATACTTAAATTTCCATCACATGTTCAGAATATAAATAGACAAACGAACACTGATATAAACTGACGAACATACAAACAAACATTAAGTTGAAAATCACCAAAATAACCATAGGCGAATGATTTGGAAGTGAGCTACACATTCCAGAAGCAACAGTCTATTGAAAAGACAACAGCATAGAAAGTAAGAAAGTAGACAATACTAAATCCCTCAATTAATTCATCTGAATGATTCAAAAATCTTGATTTGAATCAACCAACCCAAAAATCTGTTTTCATGCCTGTCCTGTCGTGTTTTTTGATCTTATTCGTCCGTTGTCACTTACATCATGATCGCTCAGGATTTTATAAAATAATAGGATTAAGCAAATGATAATCATCTCGCGCAAATGATGATAGTTATCGTTTAAACAAATTTGTTAGTGATTCCCTTACCTATTGCTTGTGTTCCTTAATGATTTGTTACTGACAGATACACATAAAAACAGAGCGAACAAATGCGGCCTATTGCTTTTTGTATTTCTCGCCCTCATCACGTCATATTTCCACCCTCCTAAATTTCAAATAATATTATATTCATTGTTACTAACGTTAGAAAATATTAGCCTATCCGCTTTTGAAATAACCCAAAGCATGTCTAAATTCAAGCATTTTCCTCGAATTTTGGATCAAAATATTCAATCTGCAAAATATCCTCAAAAATTACTGTTAAAATAATACTGTCAACTTCCATCAAGATATTTCGTCCCACTCACGGAGAAAATCAAAGAATTGATTTATACCCATCTGAAGCATCACCGCTTCGATTTCTTCCGGAGATTTAAAAGTCGCTAGAAAAAATACTAGCAAATTCTCGATGGGAACAAATTGCACACAGCTACTCCACTGTTATTCTGCTCCTACCAATCGTCTAAATAGATTTACTGGCACTCTCCGCGACAACCAAAACTTATTTCCAGGAACCTTCACTGCCACCTAATAACGAATTTGGTTGCGTAACTTCGTTGCCGGCAGAAAAGTTTTGAAATGTTGAGATCAACTGAACTGGAAGTAGTGCGGGGTTTACTGCTGGAATTGACTGATTTAGTTTTTGGACTCAAATTTCTCGCGATAAAACATTTTTTCTTGAGGATTGGATAATCTATAAGAAGAAGAATATTATCAGATTTTTGCCACTTCAATTTGAAGCTGTTGAGATTTGAACAAATATCCTTGCTTTAAGTTCATTCAGAATTTTCAGTGGTTGGAAGGTGTTAAAGAGGAAGTGATATTATTATCCAAAACAATGAACACCTGCTTTTCACCACTTACAGCGCTCAAAGGAATAGAACGAATGCATTATTCTGGAAGAAATATGCTGAAGGATTCATTGAGTATTGCTGATCCCGAAGCTTATAAAATCATGCAAAAGGTTTTCTTATAAAATTCAGATCAGTTTTCAAAATTTAAAGGTTGTGATCCAGTAAGAAATAATATGATTTGAATAATTTGAGATTATTTCCATACTTCAATATTCTGCGATTTACATCCCAAAATAAAAGATAAATTTTTTAATTTCTTGTTTTGTAAGGACTTAGCTTTTCTCCAAAAAAAGAAATGCAAAGCAAAAAATCGAATTAAATGAGTGCTTTTGTTTTTTTTTTACTTTGGTTTTTTGCTTCACATCACTTTGTTTGTTCAATCTTAGAATAACTCTTTAACCCCATTAAACTCTTTAACCCCAAAGTTTGAATGACTGCATTTTTTAATATTCACAGCTTAACATTTTTTCTATGAAATGTTACAGGAAAAGGAAAGGCAGAAACGAGGACTGGAACTAATTGCAAGTGAAAATTTCACTTCGAAAGCTGTTCATGATGCATTAGGCTCTTCAATGTCAAATAAATATTCAGAAGGCTATCCTGGTATCAGGTTCGTCATTTTTTATAACCTTTTGTAAATGAATTGTTTGTCTAATTCCATTTTTTACCTAATTGATTTCATTTGGTATTTTTAATGCTAATACAAAATATGAAAACAAAATTTCCTTTTTTACAAAGCTTTTTTAGATATTACGCAGGGAATGAATTTATTGATGAAATGGAAATATTATGTCGAAGTCGTGCTCTTCAGGTGTACATTGATTCTTGTTTATTGAAATGCATTTAACTTGTAATTTCTCTTTAACCTTCTGACTTCTTAAAGTAATTTTTCCTTTAAAGACTTTTTGAAAAAATAATTTAGCTGCGACTTTGCTATATATTTTAATTTCTTGGTAGAGTTAAGAAAAATTTTGATGATCAAGTATTATGTTGTATTATTATTTTTATAATAAGTAGAGTTTGTTTTTCAGGTATTTGGTTTGGATGATAAGA